CAGGCTGTTTCAGTATCAACTGGGAGCGTATTAGAAATGCAAATCCTTGGACCTCACCTCAGATCTACAGAATCAGAATCTTTGGAGAGGGACCCAGCCATCTGCATTTGATAGAGTCATTTGCCAGGTGCTTTGAGAAGCCCTGCATATATAAGAGTTACCACTTGTTAAGTGCTGCCTGTCAGGAGCTGTGCTAAGTACTTTCTGTAGGTTACCTTACTTAATACATACACCAACCAACTCTGTGAGGCAGATACTACTGTCTATTTTATAAACGAGGAGATTCACTTTTCCAAATTCAAGTGAAAAAATTGGTGAAGTCAAGACAAGCTCAGCTCTAACTCCAAAAGATGTGCCTTCCTTTGAATAAAGGAAGAGGGTTCTCATGGTGGGGCCTTATGGGAATAAAAAACTTTCACTGCAGAAGTGAAATTTTTACTGTAAGCCACAGATGCATTTATATACCATGATACTTTACAAATGTCAATAGTCTACTGTTGAACATTTAGGTATGGCAGTGACAAGAATGATTAATGTATAAACATTGCACTTTAAACATAATCACAGAACCCTATAGACTCCGCAGTCTAGAAAGTGTACCTTCTCTCTACTTAAGACCATAATTAGAAGCAGAGCTATTCATCTGTAATCAAATTTGGAAAGGAAGGCAAAGTTTCGCTTTCAGTCAGAGGCCAAAATTTGGAACAGAGAGCCAGTACATATAAACTAAATCTAAAACTCAGTGATTTGGGGGCAAGGGTGATTTAGGCAACCCCCCCCCCCAAAAAAACCCCCAAAGAAACCCAGCTTTTCCTAATTTTAACAAAAGCAACTGAAGGAAGTATCTGCTGGGACAAGCTTCTGTTTGGCAAATTTTGACATAGGCAGAATTTGAATATGTCATGGTACACAGGCTTACGTCTAAAGTTGCCCTTGCCTAAAAACATCTCCAAAGGCCCCAAGCCCAGCTAGCCTCTCTCCACGCTCTCCACAGAAGAAAAAACATTTGCTCTGAATATTCAGTCTGGCTTTTTGTTAGGCAGGGTGTATGGGCCAAGGGGAGGACTGAGAAGGTGGGAGGGCAGGGAAAGAACAAAGGGAAGTCCATTCCAGGACTGCTCTGCTGACCCACGACGCCCACCCACCGAACGATCCATAGGGCTTGCCAGGGGAGCCTGCATGCCGGGCTAATGGGGCCCGAAGCTCAAGCTGGACCCAAGTTCTGAATGCCACCGCATGCCTTCCAGCGCTCAGCACCTGCAGATGCTTGGGTAAACTGTTCCTTCTCCAACAGCTGTTCTCCACGGGAGTGCGGGCAAGCACCCGCCAGCCAGAACAGGGAGCCACTGAGGGGCTCCAGACGGCCCACACAGACTTCCTCCAAGTGCTCAGCACTTTGCAGAAAGCAGACTCTCAAGGAATTGCTGGGGCGAGGGAATAAGCAGGTCTGAAGAAATTCCTCACTGAAATGTCTAGGAAAATAAGAACTTCTGGAAAGCCACCCGTGAAGATGCGACCAGAGTTTCAGGTTCCCCAAACTAAAGGTGCACATTCTGGCAATCCTGAAGAGGAGAAAGGTCACAGGTAAGAAGGCAGGCACAGTCACTGGCCTCCCTGGTTCAGCCTCACTGTCTGGTCTGTAGTTTTTGCATCACATGGGGGAGGTTAACACCAAGTGAGCCTCCAGATGCTGGTCTGAGCCGGCTCTGGGCATCCTTCCCTCCTTGCAATGTGCAGACCACTGTGAGTAAGCCATGGAGCAGAGAAACTGCTTCAAAGGCCTTGGGGAGTTTTTCACGTCGGCTGCCAGGCTAGTGAGAGTGCGGTATTGGAAATTCTAAATCTTGCCCTGCTTCCCGGAGGGGCAGGACGGATGAAATGGGGACACATCTACCATAAGAAGTCAACATCTTTATCTCCAAACACCTCTGCTAGGAAAACTTTGTTTTAAGCTTTTCAGAATTCCTTTTTTTTCCAATAAGTGTGTTTTTTGCTTTCCATGGTCCTCCTGAGAAATCTTGACGTCTTTAAGAAAAAAAGATAAGGGTCCAGTAGGGGAACTATTTATTGCTCTTATGAATCATCTCTGGCACGCAAATGCCTTCTAAACCCTGACCTCTTCACCTTTTCCCGAGGAAACGTGTTGCCTTGCAGACCAACACGAAGGACACCGGAAACAAGGCAGGCCTTGGCTTCACCCCCGCTCCGGCCCCCCTTTGTATGCTCCTGCTCCTAGCTCTATCCTGGGAATGCACTCTGAAACGGGGCCAAGGTGACAGGGCAAGGGGACTCCTTGCCACTAGGTCAGGGACCAGGAGGTTTTGAGTAGAGGTTTCCTCTAATAAAAGAAAAGCTTCAGAATAAGCCAGATGGAAAGAATGCCAAAAGAAACTGTCTTTCTTTAGCTGCCTCGGTAGGAGGGATGCTACTAGTGTCAAGCACAACAAGAACAGGGGAGCCAGGTCCTGGAAGGTGGCCATTCGTGGTTTTGGGACCGGGTGCAGCTGTTTCACATTTAAAGGTCAGCTGCTCGGAGCAATAGTTTCGGGGAGCTGCGGATAAATGAATTTATAACATCCTTTACACGTCTTGGTGTCTCTAGTCCTTTCCAACTTCCAGTCTCTCATCTCTCTACCTGTTTTTGGTGGCTATTTATTTCCAGGATTAAGATGGAGAGTATACAAAAGAGCAGCACTTGAAGAAAGTGCCTCAACTGAGTGCGGTGGCTCACACCTGTAATCCCAGCACTTTGGGAGACCAAGGCAGGAGGACTGCTTGAACTCAGGAGTTTGAGACCAGCCTAGGCAACAGAGCGAGATCTCATCTCTACAGAAAATTTCAAAATAAGCCAGGCGTGGTGGTGTGTGCCTATAGTCCCAGCTACTGGGGAGGCTAAGGCAGAAAGACTGCCTGAGCCCAGGAGGTTGAGGCTGCTGTGAACCGTAACTGTGCCACTTCACTTCAGCCTGGGAGACAAAGTAAGACCCTGACTCAAAAAAAAAAGTGCTCCAGACTACGAAGACAATGCTTGGGAACAAACCTCACTCCTAGGTTGTCTTGATGAGGAAGACTGAGGTAAACTTTGCGAGCACCAGTCACTGAGCACCTGAAATGCCTGCTTCTTTTCTCAAGTCACACAGCACTCTTGGGTTCAGCACTTTGCAAAGAGCAAAGCAGATGTCGGCTGTTGAAGAATGCACACGTGCCTGAGCCAGTAACACTGCAATCCACCAAATGCCTGTGATAGAATCCATAGCTCCTCTGCTCACAAGTTTCCTCGCTGACGTCATTTCAGAGGAAGCCAAAAATAAATAGCAAAATATGCAGAAAGAGACCAGACAGCCTGAGCGGCTGAGCTTTCCAAGCAAACAGCAATAGCGGAGGGAATGTTTTTCTACAAGGGATAGGATCTGTACATATGTCAAGCAAACCTCTGCACTTCATAGTGTTTCACCAAGATATCCTTTCGAGTGAAACACAGATAAATAAATGGCAAAGAAAAGAAAAAAAGGAAAGCCTTCCCTAGCTTCGGTGACAACAGCTGGGGAGACCTCCATTAATCACATAATTGCACACTTGAAAGTTTTGCTTGTAAGAAAGCGCCAGGCAGGTAGCTGCAATTACCCTGCAGGCAGCAGCTGAGATCTCTTTGTCTGCGGTGAGGGGAGGGCATGGGGAAGTGTTCGGAGATCTGATGCCAAGCAGTCCTAGCACCTGCATACACTTAACTCTGGCAGAGCTGTGCATCATGGGAAAAGTACTAAGCCCAGGTTTCTCATCTAATGGAAGATGTCAGATTCAAAAGACACAGCAAATTTAAGCACAGAAATAAAATGCACCTGAAGATTTTGGATTCTGGATTCTTAGTCACTATACCCTAGAAATGTCATCGTTCCTTCTTCTGCTCACTGTCTTACAGCAGATGAAGTCTGGGGCTTTTTAAAGGCAACTGGCAGATCCAGTCTCACTTTGGGTAGTGCAGGCTTGTGTTGGTCTCTGGCCTTCTGGTTCCTCCGAACTGTTGTTAGTGTTCTACACATGGTCACCTGGCACGTGCACAGGTGGCTGTGTCTATGTTCAAAGCTGACTTCCATTTGGACTATATATGCCACTGATGATAAAGTTTTTGATAAGATTTTTCCCCTGGGAGGAATAAAAAAATAAAATTAAAGAATCTTTTAGGTTTTGGGCTGTGGGCCACCAAGGAGATGAAGGCTGTAGGACAACCTGACATCTCCCCTCTCTGGGGTCCCACTTGCTGACAATTTTCTCCCATGATCCCAACCACTCAAAGAGCCAAAGGAGCAAGAGAGAACTTGTACTAGAACATTCTGATCATATTCCTGCAGCAGGATCTTGGCCTGTACTCGGCTACTTACCTGCTGGTAAAGCATTTCGGAAGGAGCAGGGAGAATGAGAGGCTAAGGAAAAACAGCATGCCCTCCAGGGCAATCAAGACTAAAGGGCCAACCTTCAACACAGGGGAAAGCCAAATCTGTAAGTCAAGTTTTATTGGAATACAGCCATACCCATTCCTTTATATTGTCTATGCTGACTTTTGTACTCTAATGGCAGAGTTGAGTAGCTGGGATAGAGACTTGGCCACAAAGCTCAGAATATTGACTCTCTACTTCTTTGAAAAAAATCTTCCAATACCTGCTTTTAAAAAAAAAAAGAATTCCCTCTAACTTTTAAAAGAGAATCCGGTTAATCTGTAACAAACGTCAGCAGATACTTGAGGGGGTATGGGGGAGGATAGAGAACAAGTGGCCTTCAATTTTTCTGCAGCTATTACCCAACTATTAAATACCACACTTTTCCACACCTACAGATTCTAGGCAGCTTCATAGTTTTTACTTCTGAGAATGTGATCATGACATGTAAGCACCCCCTCTGTTGATTCCCAGGGTGGAAGTAAGAAGCAGCTGTCCTTTCCTACATAAAGAATAGTTGAGTGTCATTGTGACCCCCACACTGGCGGGTGGAAGATGTCGCTGTACCTGTTGGCCAACAGCTGGGACCTGGTTCCTGAGGGTGAGGTCAGGTAGATGGCCAGGTCTCCCCTCCTGGGGTGGGTGATGGTAATGCGCACAACGACGTGTTCCAGATAGTTGACATGGCGGTTGGGGTTATCGGAGCAGCCCGAAGCTTTGTAGATGGAGCGCACTGCGCTGTTGGGGCGGATCGTCCTACAACAGAGAGAGAAGGGGTTTAAGCAAATGACAGGGCGAGAGCTCAGTTTTTGGGAGATGAGCAGCTGATTGCTGGATGCTAAACAACAGTGCTCTCATCCACCCAAAGGACTGGGCCACTGAAAGGACTCATGGGTAGACAGCGGAAAAGCTGCAAGCGAGGGGAAAGGGGAACCAAGGTTCTTTTATCTCCATGCGGATGATGGATGTCAAACCAAGTGTGCAATGGTATCACCTTGTTAAAAACACACACTGCTGGGTCCCGCAGTGTCTGACTGATTAGGTCAAGGGTGGGTTCCAAGAATCTGCAGTTCCAGCAAGTTTCCAGGTGATAGTGAACTTGCTGATCTAGGGAATACACTTTGAAAACCACTCTGTTATGGTATAGTGGAGGCTTGGGAATTAGATCCAGGGTTTTAATCTCTAGTCTAGTGATTCCTTGCTCTATTACCCACAAGCACATTCTTCCCTCTTGCCTACAAGTATCTGTGTTCCCCTATAGCTTACTCCTGGGCCACCATTTTCCTTGAACACTGGGCTCCAGCTACACTGGCATCAGTTCAACTTCTGGGATAATCCAAGTTTCTCACCTTGGGAACTTTGCACACACTACTCTGCTTGAAGTACTTTTTAATTTGTTGATGTCTCTGTGGTTAACTCTTCTTCCTGCAAGGCTAAAGCTTACATTTCACCTCTCTGATCTTCATAGGCAAAACGATCACCATCTCACCTCTCTGGACCTTCACTGGATCATAGGCAAAATATGACCACTATCTCTAATTTTTGGGTTTTTTTGGGTTGGAGTCTCACTCTGTCGCCCAGACTGGAGTGCAGTGGCTGCTCCCGGCCACCACAGCCTCTACCTGCTGGGCTCCGGCGATCCTTCCGCCTTAGCCTTCCAAGTAGCTGGAATTACAGGCGTGCGCTACCATGCCCGGCTAATTTTTTTTGGATTTATTGTAGAGATGAGGTCTCACCAAGTTGCCCAGGTGGGTCTCGAACCCATGGGCTCAGGCAATCCACTCACCTCAGCCTCCCAAGGCGCGGGATTACAGGCTGAGCCACCGAGCCCGGCTCTTATTTTCTACCTTTGAAAATTTCCGAGATCCATTTATTAGAATTTGTAATTATTTATTATATTTTTGGTTTGATGCCTCCATTAGACTGTAATTGCCAAGGGCAGGAAGCATTTATTTCCCTTTTTATTGCTAATATCTAGTTGAGTGCTTGATACCCATTAAGTGTAAGAAAAATAGTTGTTGAATCACTGAATAAGTTTGTGAATGAATACACAAATAATCACTTTGATTCCATTTCCTAATCTGTCAAATGGGAATAATACTCAAGTTGTTATAAAGTTAAGAAAAAAACCATACTCTCAATAAATATTGGTTTATTTTCTACTCCTTTGTTTTTTTTCTCTCATTCTTTGCCACAGAAGAGACAAGATAAAACTCCCAAGAACTTTAGTCCATTTATTTCTGCTTCTTAACAAATTTCCTCAAGAATCATAATGGCTCTAGTTTCACCACTAACCAAAATTTAAAAATATTTTTCAGAGAGCAAAGTCTCTGAACAGAAAGCCAAGGCCAAAACACTAATAAAGCCACTAAGATGAAACCCTATTGCTGGGATTTAACACCTAAGAGAGACTTCACACGACTGTTTGGCAAACCCTGTTGGCATAGCCTCTAAATCTGTGCAGCTAACACCGGAGGAGAGGCCCTGAAACCTCTGAGTAAACTGCTCTCTCACTGATGGTACACTTTGTACCACTCTTCGGGTACATGGTCCAAAATTGTTTTAGTTTTTTTGAAGTACATTGACTTCTGGATAATACTCGCACCATCAGATAGACGTATCTACAGAGCAGAGAACTCCTGAAAGCCCACTGGTAAGCATATCCCCAAATCTCCCTCTTTTTTTGAGTCAGCGGTCTCGCTCTGTTGCCCAAGCTGGAGTACAGTGGCCCAATGACGGCTCATCACAGCCTTTACTGCCTAGGCTCAGGCAATCCTTCTGCCTCAGCCTCCCCAGTAGCTGGGATTATCAGCACATGCCACCACGCCCAACTAATTTGTTTGATTTCTGGTAGAGATGACGTTTTACTATGTTTCCCAGACTGGTCTTGAACTCCTGGGCACAAGCAACCCTCCCACCTCAGCCTCCCCAAATCCTGGGATTACAGGCGTACACTGCTGTGCCCAGGTTCCAAATCCCTTTTTAAAAGAGGGTTTTCTTTGAAGGATTCTTGGTTTATAGCAGTGTGGATTGAACAGTTTAGTATCTTAGTCTATTACAATTTCATAACGATATTAGAAAGAAACTACAAAAACTTTTAGCTTCCACATGCAACAAGGGGAAGTCTTGGGCATTTGAGCTCGCTTGTTTCAGGGAGACACATGCTGTCTGCTGGCAGCAAGCCTTACTTGATCTGTCGGTCTGTGCTCTCCACACACACGTGCTGTCGGGGAACAGTGGTCCACTTTTCTGCTTCCATCACCATGGCTTCTGCATCCATCAGACCAAATCCGTAGAGATGGCTCACTGTGGAAGGCAAGAGATTGGTCAACTTCATTGTGGTTGGGAACAACCCAGGCTACCTATGTTGAACTTTAATATCTGTCACTCGGCAAAGACCACAGACACATCCCTCTGGGATCCTGCCTATCTTTCCAGCAATGATTTGAAAAACAAGTCAAAACAAATACATAATCACAACAAGAAAATAAGTGGAGGTATATTTTTCAACAATGATGTAGTATTATCAGTAAGAGGACTCTATCACTTATGAGTTGTTATGACATGCCAGGCACTTGTCTACATTTTTACATATAATCCTCCCAACAATCTTCAAGATGTTAGTGCTATTATTATCATCATCCATGGATAAGAAAACTGAGGAACAGAGAAACTTGGCCAAGATTGACTAACAAGTCAGTGGTGGAGCTGGAGTCTAAACACATAGTTTTGTTCCAGGGTCCCACTGTTAATCACTTGCATTCAAAAGTGATGACATCATTGCTTTTGTAAGATAAAATAATAGGTTTAAAGAGAAGTGACGGTGTATACAACTTCTCATAGTGCAAGAAGAACCTACATGCAAGAAATATCAATTTTTTGACATATCTAGTAATTAGGGTGAATATCTCAGAAAAGATAAATTATTACCTTTCTTCTAGCATATAAAATTTTTATTAAACTTTATGCATGAAATATTTGGAAGCTTCTAGATTTTAGGCTAGCTTCTTGTCTTCGAATTCTTTAGTTCTCAATTAGTGTATCTATTGATCTAAGGCTGAATTTGACATAACTGCTTCAGAAACTTCAATTACACATAGGAATATTTTAATGATACAGCAAGATTTACAAGTGCAGTTCTTTCTAAAAATACTTTAATATTCCAGGTGGATACTTCAAATCTCCACTTTGTATTGAACTGTCATAATATCTTTATATTCACCACAAAGTCACACTCTATCAGTTTTTGTCTAAAATCTTTTTTGTTATTGTATTAATTACTTTACGCAGTTTCCTATAGCTGCTCATGCTTATAGGTTATTTAAAACAGCTTGAAATTTATAATATGCTTGAGTATAGTACCATTTGACTTTTTTTTGGGTGGGGGAGGGTTTGGAATCTCACTCTGTCGCCTAGGCTGGAGTGCACTGGCAAGATCACAAGTCACCACAGTCTCGAACTCCTGGGTTCAGGTGACCCATCTGCCTCAACCTTCAAAGTAGCTGGGACTACAAGCACTTGACACCACACTTGGCTCATTTTTTGTAGAGATAAGGTGTCACTATGTTGCCCAGGGTGGTCTCGAACTCCTGGGCTCAAGCAATCCTGCCGCCTCAGCTTTCCGAAGTGCTGGGATTACAAGTGCCAGCCAACATGCCCAGCCACCATTTGACTTTCAAAACAACCTTTTCACCACACTTTTTGCTTTAGGAAGGCCACTAATACAGACCCCAATCAGATCTTGTCTTTTCTGCCTCACTGTCTTTGCCAGACTGAGCCCTTGGCCTGACATCTCCCGCATTCCTCCTCTCTGCAGAGTAAGCCCTACTCTGGTAAATTCCTGAAGGCCTTGGCCAGTCTATCTTCTCCTTCTTGCAGTATTCTGTGACACCTCATCTCTACAAAACGTCAAAAAATGAGCCAGGTGTGGTAGTGTATGCCTATAATCCCAGACACTCTGGAGGCTGAGCCCAGGAGGTCAAGGCTGCGGTGAGCTGTGATTGTGCCACTGAACTCCAGCCTGGGCGACAGCATGAGATTCCAACTCAAAAAAAAAAAAAAAGAAAAGTCAAATGGGACTCTATTCAAGAACACTGTGAATAAAAAAAGTCAAAAGACATTTACTGAAATTCAACCATCTGTGACCAGTGAACTTATCTCTTTCTAACTCTGATAACTAATTAATTTGTCAATTCATCTGCCTTTCTGCCCACCCATCCATCTGCCTGCCTGCATGCCTGCCCATCCATCCACCATCCACCATCCACCATCCACCATCCATCCATCCATCCATCCATCCATCCATCCATCCATCCATCCATCCATTTCTTGAGTGACGTTAACTTGCCAGGCACTGTATTAGGCACTGCACTTTTTATCGGTGTCACCAATTGCATGACTAACTCTGTCAGCATATGTCTTTTTACTCCAACTGTATTTATGATCTACTTGATAGGAACTGGGTCTTACATTTATTAATATGTTTGATGAGATTTAGCAGAACTTTATTCACATGAAAGCACAAAGAAATTACAGCACACAGAAAAGGAAAATTGTGCAAGGATTAAAAAATACCATGTTATGCTATTTTCTAATCACATCACTGTCAGCAAACAAGATAAAATAATCCATAATTTTCTTCTTTTGGGAAATTATAATCTATCCCATCACCATTTTTAAGTCATTAGGTATTAATATATGTCCCATCACCATTAATATATGTCCCACATGAGAAAATCTATGTAAAAGACACCAGAAATGTAAGGGCTCATAATATCAGACACTTTAGCCAGACAGGACATGCTAAATAAAAATAAATAGGCCAGGCGTGATGGCTCACGCCTGTAATCCCAGCACTTGGGGAGGCTGAGGCGAGAGGATTTCTAGAGTCCAGGAGTTCAAGACCAGCCTCGTAGAGATCTTGTCTCTATGAAAAAAATTAAAACATGAGCCAGGCATGGTAGTGGCATGCTTGTGTCCCAGTTATTCAGGAGGCTGAAACAGAAGGATCACCTGAGCCTGGGAGGTTGAGGCTGCGGTGAGACGTGAGCCTGGGCAACAGAGTGAGACTTCAACTAAAATAATAATAAAAAAGTAAAATAATTAAACTTTCTCTGCTATGGCAAGGATAGATGTAGAAGTGTTATACATGTACTTCTGTAACTTTAATAACTAATTACTTTTTTTTTGCTTAAAATTATGTTCATTGTAAAAAATCTTATCCAGTAAAGAATAAAGAAAATAAGAGTCATTCAAAAAAATCCTTATCACAAATTGGTAACTGCTATGAACAATTTGACTCTTTAGTTTTTGCTACATAATATCATGAGGGTTAATTAGCAAGAGGCAGATGCTTTAGAAGAAATGTCAAGTTTGGGTTTAAGGAAACCAAATTGTGGAAATCTTTAACATAAGTTCATGTAAATCATATTTTTTATTTATCATTTAACCACAGCCGATATAATTTCATCATGAACATTCTGAAGTTTCTTTTCTCTGCCTGGGGAGCAAGACTCTCTTTTAAGAGACGGGGTCTTGCTCTGTCACCCAGGATGGAGTGTAGTGGCCCAATCATAGCTCACTGCAGTCTCAAGATCAAGCAATCCTCCAGCCTCAGTCTCCTATGTACCTAGGACTACAGGTGCACACCACCACCCAGCTACATTTTTTTACTTTTTATAGAGACAGGTCTTTCGCTATGTTGCCCACACTAGTCTCAAGCTCCTGGGCTCAAGCAATCTTCCCACCGTAGCCTCCCAAAGCACGAGAATTACAAGCATGAGCCACTATGGCACCCTGGGGGAAACAGAAAATGTTACCCAAATTGTTACCTTGTGCCAGACGTTTTACCTGATCATTACTTAAACATGCTAGTGACAAGCGGTTTTAAACTAGCACACCATATCTGCTTATCTCAGTTTAGAGAAACAGGATTAAAGATCTGAGTGGATGAGGGACAGGGAGGGGGAGGGTTGGGAACTTGGGGAGGGTGAGGGCTTTGAACTGTCATGGCACTATCAGGACAGCACCCCCTAGCCCATGTGCTAGAAGGCTCTTTTCCCCTTTTCCCCCAGTAGCTGGTCTCCCTAACAACCATTGGAACATACATTAACACAAAGAATCATCAAATACAACAAACACCTCATGCCTGTTAAACAACTACTTAAGTAGAAAAGCACCTCGAGTCTTTAAGAAGGCCACAAATTTGTTTCCTTTTCCAATTCAATTCTTAGCCTCTAGAGACAATGTTCATGAAACACTCAAAATAAATGTTCAGAAAAGAGCTCAACTGGCTACAGTTTAACTATAGACTGGCTGATCAATAGAAAACATTTTATACTAATACAATATAATAAACAAGGGAATTGGGTTAGATCAATGAAGGTCACTGAATCAGTAATAGAGATATTTAGTATTTTGAAATACTAGAAATTGTATATTTGTCCACAATCATGATACACAGCTTAAGAAAAGCGTGAAATAAATTTATCTCCCTCCCCCTTTTTCAACTTCATGTAGTCCAATTGTAGTTTTTTTGTGTGTAAATAAGAATATGAAAATTTTTACACAATAAATGTGCTGTGCAGATAAATTCCCTCAAAATGTGGTATCAATAGGAGAGATAGCCTTTAAACAGTTTGGAAGCATTAATAATTTTATATATGATATGACAATTTCACACTTGCAAATGACCTATAAGTAGAGAAACACTGATTTTTTTGGGGGGGGCCATTTGAGTTAAGTCTGTGTTGCTTGTCTCACTGTGACCGCGTGATGGACCACGGGGCTCAGGGAGGGATTCTCTCCAGGGACTTCAGAGTGCCTGGTTGAGAGGGAGGCTTCCACAAATATTTGTGAAATGAATGAATGGAACCGAGAGGAGAAATTTTATTTAGTTCACAAGTGGCAAAAAGTGTTTACTAGAGAATCGTAAGAGGAAAAAATAAGAGGTCTGTTCTTTTTATTACTGATTTCCGTAACGTCTTCCTCGACACTTGAATTTATTCAGGTACAGAGCCAATATTCACATATTATAAATTCACGATCATGGCAAATATACCATGCAAATGACTGGTTATGATATGGCTCTCCCACAACTAAAGTAGTCTTATTTATGCACATTTCTCATGCCAAACTCAGAGCAAAACCTGAGCCTGAAAATAACTGTCTGATGATCAAGTGGGTGCCGCTCTGAGCAAGCACTGTGTAAAATGCAAAATTCTATGAACTCAGAGTACTATTAACATTGGCGTGGACAGGAATCCTGACCAGTTCAAATAGAATTTTTCATTCCTGTGAGTAAGGGC